AAATTCGTAGTATCGTGAGCCTACTGGTGTACGCGAAGACAGAGCAAGAGTACATGAAAAATCATAGCTACATGCACCAGCTCACGCGCATTGGTTCGACTGCGGCCAAGGGTATTACAGCTTCTTTTGCCGAACAACAAGCTTCGCCACTGTCCGCGCCCGACTCAGCCCAGCCCGTGCCCAACACAGCCCAGTTGGTCGTCTCAGACCAGCCCGTGCCCGACTCAGCCCAGTTGGTACCCGACTCCGCTCGTGATGAACCCGACTTAGCCCAGTCTGAGTCCGACTCAGAAGAGACCAAAGTCCCAAATGCAGTGCCCCAGGACCAACAAGGTTTGCATGCATTTGCCGCTTACTTTGCCAAAAATTGGGATAATTGTCGGCAGCTATGGTGCGCACACAGGCGTGAAAATGCGGTTACATTGGGCAACGATACGAACAACCGATTGGAGTCGTCGTGGAAGCAGCTTAAAGATATGATGCACTCATTAATGGGACTCGATGAGTGCATCGCTTCTATCATGTTTTATCAGACGATGGCCGAACAGCAATTTCGTATAAGCTAAGCGTTGTACAGCACAAAACGTATGATCGCGAAATGGATCATGTGGCTAACCTTGTCAGTGAGCACGTTTGCTAGCTCATCTACGAGCAGTACGATTACGCAGTGCATCAAGCTTCGTACACATTCTATGGGCCGTACGTGGGGATGACATTTATAAAAAGTACCGACAAGGACGACTGTGCTCTGGACAGCTGGAGATCGGAATATCATATCAACACGCGCGAGTGGGAATGCTCGTGTCTTTTCATGGCAGCACGTTTGCTTCCATGCCGTCACGTTTTTTACCTTCGGAAGGCCCGTGGGCTCGAAACAGTCATTCCGAGTCAGACTTTAAATTCAAGATGGTTAATGTCGTCTCTTCGTCTATCCACGGCTCTAGAGGACACACGACGAGAAGCTTTTGCTATGGGTACTGTGCTTCAAGTGCCCGAAGTACCCTGGGACTCAAATCGGAAGTTTCGGGAAGCTCGTCATGTGGCTACCACTATCTGCGAGACGATAAGCGGGCTTGGCATGACTGAGTACCGATTAGCCATGAGTGCATTGGCTCAAGTGTCAAGTGTAATTAAGCGCAGAGAGTTCAGCAAACTTGCTGGGCTAGCTGAAGCAGATGAGCACCAATTAGAATCAGGTACTATGGGCGACACTAGAATTCAAGGCACTCGGTACGAGACACAATCCGTTCACTCAAATAATTCGTAAGCTTCAAGGACCGCACTAGTAGAAGCGAGTCTACTTGAAGCCCTATCGGCAACGCTGGGCGATGAATCTAGTTCACCGGGACCTCGGTCGGGTAACCAGTCGGGTACACTGAATGACCAGTCGGGTACGATTCCTGACCAGTCGGTTATACTGAATGACCAGTCGGGTACGACTCCTGACCAGTCGTTTATACTGAGTGGCGAGTCGGGTATGGTTACTGCGCAGTCGGGTGCGGTTTCTGCGCAGTTGGGTGCGGTTACTGCGCAGTCGGTGCGGTTCCTGCGCAGTCGGGTACCCCGAGCAACCAGATGGATACATTAAAATCTCGAACAGAGATTACATCGCACGACTGTCAAATTTAGCTACATTCTGTGGATCCCACCACCGACTTTGATATCGCAAGTCCGGTGAGGCCTCGTGGACGACCAAAACAGAAACCAAAAGCAAAAAAAGGCCAAAAAAGTATTGCAATCGAGATATCCCGAGATGATTCAGACATGCATGAAAGACGGTTGTCCCTCAACTCGATTAAAGAGGCGCTTTCTGGAGAGGCTACGTACGAGTCAGCAGGTCAATTACTCAACCAGTTCAAACAATTCGTGTTTGACAGGCGACCAAAACCGCCAATTGCACACAATGCGTCACAGCTACCACCAGGAAAACCAATCACAGATGCCTGTGAGTCTACGCGGGTGTTTGCATGGGACCTGTTACGAAAATGCGATGCTAAGGTGACGGCATATCAACGGAATCGGCGCGGGCTGGCTGAGCAGGACATTGCAATTGAGGTGGTGGGTGTAGGCATTTTTATGCCGTGCACGCTCTCAATAATGAAGCAGTGGCATCGGGCACTGACTGCCGTTAAGACTGTTGAGCGCGTGCTGCATTGGATCTCTTCAGTGGACGTGTCACTGCTTTGTGATACGTCATTTCACGTTGAAACAGATCCCAATTTGCCTGCCAAGTTGAAATCAATGCCGCTTCTGTCCGAGCAGGTACGCATCCTTTTTTTCGTAAACTTATCCTTCACAAATTATTTGGGTAAACATTATTGCGTATTTACAATTGTCTAGATAAATGTGCTCGATTTTGCTGCTAAGGGATCCCTCGAAGACAAAACTATGTGGACTGCCATGCAAAAATTATTCGGAACGGACAATATGGTAGTGATGATCAACCCAACTACTGTGAGCATCACCAGAAATGACAGCATCAGAACGGATCGAGATGCGCTACGTGTTGCATTGAATGAAGTATCCAGTCAACGGATTCTTATCCCGATCAACTGTAGCGGGAACCACTGGTGTGCAATCATCGTCAACTCTGCTACCGATGAGATACTATTGTACGACCCGATGCATTCAAGTTACATGGCAAGTATCCGGGCTGTTGCCGGGTCTCTGGTAAGTTTGCTTCCGGGTGCTGGTGTGAAGCGTTACCGCACCCGCTTATACGAATCTAGCCTCGGCATACAAACGGATAGATACAACTGTGGCGTGTACGTCCTACCTGTATTTGAAATGTTGTGCGGAGCAAATGCAGTGGGAGCCGTTGACAAGAAGATGCTCCAATGTCTCCGATACAGGTATCTGTGTATGTGCCTTTAAATACATCACTTTTTACATTACACTACACCTTACCAATATAAACACTATCACAGTACGACTCACCAATTTAAACACCATACTTAGACACTTTTGTTTGCTAAGTGTTTCAGTGCCAATGCAAGACACCACACGTGATTTTTTCTTAAAGTATCAGTTGAGGTTTTTTCTTGGGCAAAAAGGAAGCCGGCTATACGTATAAATCCAGCCACTCATCAAGTGATGACGCGGCACTGACTCTCGTCTAGCCGGGCTCAGTCGGTATCAGCTGGGCTCAACCGGTCACATTAGCCTCGTCACATTTCACTCAGCCGGGCACAGCAACACGTGCCATTAAATAAAGGGAGAATCTAACGAGGGCCCTCATCGGGGAGAATCTAACGAGGCCCCTCATCCGGAGGGCCCTCGCACAAAAGGTCCATGTGTGATTGTGATGTACCTACCGGTATAAACCGGTACTTTCGTGTAGACGAATGGCTGTAAGCTGTAGACGAAGATTATAGACGAACGAAAGGTCACCAAATACAATTTGATTAGCCATGAGCGGCAACAACCTCCCCCTTCACGCTATTCAGCCGCCCCCAGAGACCACTTACAGCTCTCACGATGCCGCTGAAGCCGCGCTACACCAGTGGACGCTAGATCACGGCTTCAACGTCTCTCACCGACGTGTTCGGTACAAGGGTGGCCCCGAACGCGAAATTTGGGCTCGTAACTACGAGTGTGACGTGCAGGGGCCCCTAAGAACGCTCAACACCTGACCGAGCATGATCGGAAGCGTACGCTACGGGGATCGAAGCGCTCGGCTTGCCCGATGCGGATAGGGATTAGGGCTGTATTTAAAGATGACACTGCCGGCCAGTGGAAGATTGTTCATAATGCTCGAAGCACGCATCATAACCATCAACCTTCGCGGGATGTTCGCGTACATGCGCAGCATAGGCGTCGGGTCATCCAAGCAACATCACAACCACTGGCCTCACACACTCTGGATTTGGTTGAGCTTCAGACAGCAGCCGGGGCCACGCCTTCGACGATTCATGCAGCAGTTCTAAGCGCAGAATGCTCTCGACCGTGTATTTCCAGTGCACGTCGTCGTAGCTTAGATAGCAGTGTACACGGTAGTTAGTTTTGATGAAAGCAACACCGCTGTGAATGAGATCTCCTCTAAAGATTAGGCAAAATCCCACGGGAATTTACACAATGCGCTCTTTGCTGTCGTCCCTGGCAGCGAAGCATCCGTCGAAGACTCGAAGACTCGTATTGGGCTGCAAAGCTAGCACCATGCTTGCTGGAACTCCGCCGGGATGGGCTGCGCGGGCACGAGCTATGTCGTCGCCTTGGTAGTCCTGGTGGGCCTCCTGCTCTGTTCCGCCTGGCTTCGAGCGCATGAACGAGAATACGCCTGGCTTCCAACCCGGGTGCAGCACTCCAATGACTACAGCCAGCGCCTTACGCAGCTCCAAGAGAGCTGGCGACAACGCAGCACTATCCACGCGAGACTGTTGGCGGTAGGAGTCGTCGCCACCTCCGACACGATTGAAAACTCCAGTGTACGTACGGGCCTTAGCTTCGGCTAGTAGTGTAGGTATAACGCGATCCGGTAGGACGAGGCCCACGGCCAGATATCCATTCGGCAGCAAGGGCCCGGTGACCGAGTTCATGAGTTTGCTTAGAATCTGAAAGTAAAACGTTTTTGTTTTTGCAGCGGGAACGGTCGTTGTTAGAGTCACACTATGAGTGTGTGCCTTTTTACTTAAGTGCATATAAAAGCCACCACGTGGGCACACATAGGTGTGTCCAGGAAACAGAGTCACAAAAGGCACACGTTGAACATAAATTACGTAATTTAAATTCATAAATTTCATCATCATAGACTTTCTGGGGTGTATGCGCATACATCATCGAATCTAATTGTAACGGGAGCGCCCTATTAGAGTCCGGACTTTATTTAAGGGAGAATCTAACGAGGGCCCTCATCCGGAGGGCCCTCGCATAAAAAAGAGCAGTAAGGAAAACTACAGCTTACCGGTATCTATACTTGTAAATACCAGTATAAATCGTTCCCGTTGCAGAGACCGTTCCCGTTGCAAATCGTTCCCGTCCCACCGATCTTTTAATTTTGCAGGCTGCAAATGAACCTTTTCAAATGAAGCGATCGATCGTGCACGACTCGGAGCCCGTCGACAAGAAGCAACGCATCTCGTGCGATACTACTCCACTCGACCACGAGGCTACCCGCTCCTTCACCCGCAATGGGTTCGTGCTGCTGCGTGGAGCTTTCGCGACGTCCACCGCTGAAAAGTGTCGTGACTTGATTTGGAAGCGCCTGGCGCAGGATGGGATCACCAAGGACTCGTCTACTTGGGTGGAGAGGCATGGTATACCAGGTACAGCACAGCTCGCTATATCTGTTCCATCACACCAATGTACAGAGCGCGTGTTGCTAATATGTAAATGCTTGCTGCCAGAGCTGTTCACGGCGGAAGACGATCCCGTGTGGGGTGAAGTGGTGACTCCGCGTCTACAGCGCGCCATGGACCAACTCTGCGGCAAGGATCGATGGGAGGGCTTCGGTCTTGGGTGGTGGATGATCACGTTCCCAGACCAGGCTGAGCCGCCGTGGGGTGCTGCTGGCAAGTGGCACGTGGACGGCGCGTCGTACCAGCACCACGTGGACAGCAAGGAGTCTGGACTGTTGGTGATCTTCCTCTTCTCGGATATCGGGCCTGGTGAAGGGGGCACAGCGTTGTCCGTGGGCTCGCACAAGTGGATTGCGAGGCTGTTGGAAAAGAATGAGCCAAGTGGGATGAAAGGTGGCGCTGTGAGCTACCAAGCCAGGCAGTTCCGACGCCCGGAGGTTGTGGAAGTGAACGGCAAGGCAGGCGACGTTATGCTGGTGCATCCGTTCTTGCTGCATGCTCGCAGTAAGAATCTTGGACGGAAGGGGGTGGACTCGGTGCGCATCATGTGCAACCCGAACGTGCGGCTGCGTCGAAAGATGAAGTTAAAGCGACCGGACGGGGACTACAGTCCTGTAGAACAGGCGATTGTCGACGCCCTGGTGCCAGATTCAGAACACGAATAAACGTCACGATTATGTGTTCAACTGCGCATTACATTTGTATGTTGGGCTTCACAGCTTTGTAAGTAAACAATTGAGTGATTTTACCACGCTTTCGTAAGGTTACATATTTCAAGGGTCTATTACATGTACCGAATTGGTCAGGGTCTAGACCAGAATATTTTTTGTCCCAATTGTGATTAGTGTAGATACAAAAGGATAAAATCTGGTCAAGGTCCGGATCCAGACCATAGAAATAGTGTTAGCATTTGAGCTTTTTTAAAGTCCTAGCAACCAGATTTCAAAATTTTCACTGAAAAGTTTGCTTCCCATTGACTCCGTGAGCACAAGACGTGCGAGGATAAGTAAGATCGTCAACGAACGGTAGAAATCCTTGATCTTCTTCATCTCCTTGGCGTAAATCCTAACACCAGCACTTATCTTAATCATCTCAGCCAATTCGAGAAGTTGCAGGTTCAGTCCTGTGTCCACTTCGCAACCATTCCGCAATGCTGAGACTGAGACGCTCTCGACGAGCCATTGCAGCAGCTAACACAGCGCATGTGACGGATACCCAATTGCCGTTTTCCTTGCAAACAAGTAGCAGAGCTCTAGCAGTTGCAGCGCCTCTGGAGTCTACTGGGTCGACTGCGAGTACTATGTTGATGCCTCGTCCTGTACGCCTGCTGCCTTATTCGGCGCCACAGCAGCGAGAAGATGCTCTGCCAGCGTATCGAGCAGCTGCAAAGCGCAGTGTGGTTTGTGTGCTGAGAGTTTCCGCGCTGCTCGGTACAGATCGGAGGCTGTACCACCACTTGGGGACTCAAGATAACTGTCCACGGCGACCACCATAGCGGATTTGCCCGGCTTCTTACCACGCTTTTTGATAGTCGCTCGACGGCTGTAGAGTCCCGACACGGAGGAGGCGGAGGAGGTGAAACGTTTCGCCGTCAGAATCGTTCATGGCGTTGCTGTAAAAAAACGCTACTTGAAAAGCTCTCACAAATATCATAATATCAGGACAAATGTTTGATAATCACTTTCTTAAGTAGTTCAAATATTGCTATTGTATAAATTCGTTGATCAAGAGCACAACCCATTTGTCTCCCGTTTCATCCATGTTGTGCACACCACAGATAACTGTGAAATGAAAACAATCTACCTCACCAGCTCTACCTTGTATTTCCAAACCTATTTCTAATTCTTGCCAATGAAGTTGGAGGCATTACGGCCGAACATCTCTAGATTCAATGGATAGCCAAGTGTTAGTTACGTGCGTTTTAGAGGTGAAATTAAACAGGTGGTCGCAATTTTACATGTTTGTCACGTCTGCGAGGATGTAAATTGAGATCGGTACCACCAAATGGCCAAATTGGGTGACTTTTACATTAAACTAGTCCGAGCTATTCTGTACTAATTTCGTGACTTTTTTTATTGGTCCGGCTGGTAGATCAGAATGTATCCGTATTTTACGTTAATAAATTCTGAACCCTGACCCAGACCCATCTGGTATTAGACCCTTTATGGATTCTACCTTCGTAAGTTTTCCGACTGCACAAGACGTTCGAAGGCAACGTTGGTTGCTTTCCGAACAGCTTCCTCCTGCTCCGTCAACGACCAGAACAACTCCGGGTCCGCCGCTTGAGCCATAACACCTTCGGACGAGCAGTCGGACGAGCGCTGGCTCAACTCACTCGAGCGACGCTCATCCTGCGCGTTGAGCACCTCGAGAGCCATTTCAACGGCTTCCAAGTTACGAGATGGCTTCACGTCGCGTGGAGTCTCGCCAGGGTTGCCGCGAATCGAGAACTGCGGTGGACGGAAACCATCGTACTGCAGCGGCTTGTAAGGCACGAAGCCTTTACTCTCGTCCCGAACCGGTTCCACTGCCAAATAAGCTTCGAGTGACAGCTTCATGATGTGCTGCGAGTCGAAGACGCGAGCGAGTTTTCTTGGATCGACGTCGCACACCATCGCTTCCAGCGGCAGATGGGAATAGAAGGAATCCACAGCGACATTGGCCTCCCTGTCCGGCTCGAACGAACGCGTCAGGCAGTGCGCGTGGTCTTGAATAGCTGGTTGGAGTAGTTGTTCCAAGCTTGACAGCAGTGACTCGACTGTGCAAGTTGTCGGATCTATCGGCGGGATTCCCACGCCAAGTCGCTGGCACAAGCGGGCGGTGAAGAGCTGCGACGGATGCGAACCACAGACGGCGACGGGCTTACCAGCCATGAGCTCTTCAGCCAAAACGTCGGGCTCACCCCAGTGAATGGTAACAGCAGCGCGAGGGAATACTTGCGCGTACCGTATATCTATACCCAGAAGGTAGACAAAGTCAGACCGATACAGAGAGCGAGCTGTTGAGCAGCCAGGTTGATTTTTCAGTATAAGGTCCTCAAACGTACCGAAGGGCAAGTAACGCGCGAGTTAGATTATGCGATGATGTCCTCGTCTTCAGGGTCTTTATACAACTATGGTAGCCAGCAGTTCATAAAGATAGTTCATAAAGATATGTAGGCTTGGCGCACACATAACTTTGCAGCAGAGGTCGCAAGCGTAATTTCCCTACCCGTCCGAAAGCGAGTTTCGGATGACAAAATAAGCTGCTCTCGCACGAGTCATACTCACCATTTTTGACGCTAAATCGACCGTTATTACGGGGATTTGTATTCTATTTACCCTAAGTTAGCATATAAATCCCTCTCCTTACCCCTTATTAGACCGAACAGTGTTCGACGAGCACATCGATCGCTGTACAGAGTCTGAGTGTATTAAGAGCATATTTACGATCATTTTAAAGGCGTTAATTGGTCGATCAGTCTACATAGTAGAGCTGGCATACTGAGAAATTTAAATATACAGTCGTGCACCTCCAATTCGGCACCGGTATCAGTCGATACCCTGCCAGATTTTATGATTACGCGAATCGGATGCGCAATTACCTTTGCCCATCACCACCCTAGCAATCAGGTTTCCCCCCCCTCGCCGAGGGATGACACGCCGCATCGATCTGATTTTAAATTTTGGATCGGAGGTCTTCTTACAAACACACACTTTGATTTTTACCGCCAAAGCCAATGGGACATCGCCTTTCCTCCTACATGTCGCACAAAAGCAGTCTTGGTGCGAGAAGCAAAAGTCAGATCCTGCATGCTCTGGTCGCGATATGCGTCCGTCCGGCAAGGCGGCAACTTCCGCGGACCGCTTAAGAATACTCTGGACGGTAGTGCGCTTTACTGCTTGGGGGGTCTTAATGCGCTCCGTTGCCCAACGAGCAAGTTCGGAGTGAGAGCATGCAGGATCTGATTTGTGCTTCTCGCACAAAGACTGCTTTTGTGTGACATGTAGGAGGAAGGGCGATGTCCCATTGTCTTTGGCGGTAAAAATCAAAGTGTGTGTTTGTAAGAAGACTTCGATCCAAAATTTAAAATCAGATCGATGCGGCGTGTCATCCCTCGGCGAGGGGGGGAAAACCTGATTGCTAGGGTGGTGATGGGCAAAGGTAATTGCGCATCCGATTCGCGTAATCATAAAATCTGGCAGGGTATCGACTGATACCGGTGCCGAATTGGAGGTGCACGACTGTACTTCTCTGAGTCGATATTTTATAACCTGGTAGTTCTGAAAGCCTCTATAATAATGCTGACGTTTTCTCCACTAATCTTCCATACAAAGTCCAAAATACTGCCTCCGTTTCTACTACCATCGATGATATCCAGAGCTCGGGCAACACACGGCATTATTAATAGTCTTCAGACTACAAGTACATGTAGTACTGTAGTCTGTAGCACTGTTGCCAACAGTCTGTTGGCTACGTACGCAATCATTGTTCTATTTTTTGCTTGAAAATCCGATTCACATGTCAGCAAGACGAATCATTAGCCCCGCTATGTTTACCACTCGTCTTCGTGACCCCCCCCACCGATCTCACTCTTCATTTTTCGACCTCAACTCGACATCTAAAAAGAATGCGAGAAAGCAGCTTCGACAACGCTATCCTCGTCGATGCTCGGGGCACAGTATTGGAAACCCACGAGCAGCAAACCTACGCCGTAGCAGCATGCGGACCTGAAGGTCGTATCCAACTGGAATTCGCCGAAGACAGCGCTGATACCCACCAATCTATACGTACCGCAGATACTAATCGACGTTCATTCACACAGCAGCTCGTCGGCAATGATGACAACAACACGTTTTGTGCCGTTGCCATCAACAAGACCAGCATCCAGCGTCCGCCGGTCATGCGCATCTGCATCATCATCGTCGGAACAAGAGGGGATGTCCAGCCATTCCTCGCCATTGCACAACGACTGCAACAGGACGGACACCGCGTCCGGCTCGCCACACACGCTGTCTACAGAGACTTTGTCATGAGTCACGGCGTCGAGTTCTACCCGCTGGGTGGAGATCCAAAGGAGCTGGCCGCCTACATGGTTAAAACTGGAGGCCACCTCATACCCACCAAGATCGAGACGCTCACTAAGGACGTGCCGCGCAACAAGGAGATAATCAAAGAAATCGTGCATTCCACGTGGCCAGCCGTCTCCGCCCCCGATCCAGACGGAGACGGCCCGGGCGTACCCGGTAAGCCATTCCAGGCACAAGCTATCATAGCCAACCCCGTCTCCTACGGACACATCCACGTCGCCGAACGCCTCGGTGTGCCGCTGCACATCATGTTTCCGCAGCCGTGGGTGCCCACCATGGCGTTCCCCCATCCGCTTGCCAACATGCCCTACACGGACGAGCTTAGGAAGACCAACTACATGTCGTATAAAATGGTGGATTTACTCATGTGGCAGGGAACGGAGGGTCTCATCAACGAGTTCCGCACCAAGGTACTAAAACTGCGCAAGATCCGCAACGGCGACGGCGGTCGGGACCTACTTCTGGATCTTCAAATTCCGCATGCTTTCATGTGGAGTCCAGAACTCGTGGCCAAACCGGCAGACTGGGGGAATCTCTATGACATAGTCGGCACCGTGACCCTGAGCGGCAGACCCAATTTCGTCTATACGCCGTCCCCAGAGTTGGAGATGTTTTTGGGCAGAGACGGCGGTCCGATCTTCGTCGGTTTCGGGTCGATGGTGCTGGCGGATCCGCTGGCTACTACCAAGATGATCATCGAGGCGGCGCAGCAGGCTGGTGTTCGCGTGCTTATCCAGTCCAGCTGGAGTGATATGGCCGGTAACCTCGACATTCCGGACAACGTCTTCTTCATCGGCAACTGTCCGCACGACTGGCTCATGCCACGAGTGTGTGCGGTGGTTCACCACGGAGGCGCGGGCACCACGGCTGCCGGTCTACTCGCCGGTAAGCCCACCTTCATTGTTCCGTTCTTCGGAGACCAGCCGTTTTGGGGTCACGCAGTGGTGAAGGCTGGTGTGGGTGTCGAACCGTGTCCGATCTCGCAGTTAACGACGAAGAAGTTGCGCGAGGGGTTCGTAGGGCTCATGGATCCGGCACTACGCGCTCGAGCACTGGACCTGCGTGATGTCATGCGTCGAGAAGACGGAGCTGGGAACGCGGTGTGCAGCTTCTATCGACATCTTCCGACACAGGAAATGTTCTGCGACCTGGATCACGAACGGATCGCCACTCGCTGGAGCGTTTGCGATCGTCTGAAGCTGTGTGATCGTTGCGCACACATCGTTAGTGAGCGTCCTGAGAACGCAGGCAAGAAGATGGTTAGCTATCACTGTGTGGATTACACGGCCCGGGGCCCGGACTCGGCTCTAGAAGGTGCTTCATCTGGCACTGGCGCGTTCTTTCATGAGTTCGCTGGTGCGTACACTGGTCTCGTTCGTGAGCCCGTTAAAGGCTACTCAACGAACGGAGTGGCAGGTAGTGCGATTGGTACGCTGAAGGGTGTGGGCGGTATCCTCGTACGCCCGACACTCGGGCTTCTGCATTTCACAGACCGTCTTGTCACGGGCCACATCAATGCTCACCGAGAAGAAGGCGAACAAAAGCACTCGAGTATGTTTGATCGTCGCTTTATGTCTGCCATCGGCGTACAGAGAGGATTGGCAAATAGCCATTCCTCGTCGACGGAGACTAACTGTGTCGACAGCGTTATATTCACCAGCCATAAGAAGCGCAAGAAAATGCTCCGCAGCATTAAAGACAAGGCGAGCGTGTATCGATCAAGGTACCAAGCTGTGCTGGACCTCCGGAAAGATCAGAGTGAGCGGCTATTAGGGGGCAATCCATTATTCCCGAGCTGTTCTGCAAGTCAAGAGCTTCCGTCGTGGGCACAGACTTCTAGTGTACCGTCGAAGTCGAGGGATGTACCTAATCAGTCTTCTAAGATCCTGTTGCACGAAGCTCAGCTCACACCGCAAGGGTCAGTCATCATAAAAGCCAGCGTTTCAAACACCGAGGTCGACTTGGTCGAAAAAGATCGCATTGCTCAGTGGAGAGATTATGCAGCTTTCCAGTTTGACAGGGCATTGCAAGCTCGACGAACTAATTCGGACACCAAGCCACCCGCTCCTACCATGAACGTTTGTTTGGCTGCCATTGGCACCTGGGACAACGGCATTAAGCAATTCGCTGCTATCGGATTGAAACTTGCTTCCCACGGTAACCGAGTGCGTCTGGCTGCCAACGAATGCTTCCGATCCAAGATCGTCGAACTTGGACTCGAGTTCTATCCGCTGGCGAGTGCATCTGACAGCGTCCAAGACTTTGCGCGATTGATCCATGACGCCCAACTCGGCACTGAAGCGAGACGCTCGAATCTAGAAGCACTGCAAGCCTTTCGAGAACTAATCTATTCGCTCTGGCCTGCTGCCTATGGATCGGACCCACACGGCAATGGTCCCAACAAATCTGGCGATCATTTCCGTGCCGACGCACTGCTGTGGCACCCGATGCTGCTCGGGCACGTACATGTGGCGCAGCGTCTCGGTATTCCGCTGCATTGCGTCAGTCTTGAGCCCCTGTCGCCTACCTTTGAGTTCCCACATGTACTGAGTTCGCTGGCAGGGTGCGAGCCAGCAGCGACGATGACTCCTCGATACAGCAACTTACTGTCGCATGGCGTCGTCGACGCAGCGTTAAACCACGGCAGCATAGCGGACGTGCTGACCCAATTCCGTTCATTTATCGGACTCACGAGCCCCTTGAACCGGCCGGATCCGCTCGTCCAATGGGAAGTGCCTCACTTGTATTTGTACAATCCGGTTTTGCTTCCGAAGCCTGTGGACTGGGGTGAGGAACTCGCTGTGACTGGCCACGTGACGTTGCGAGATAGTCTAGACACTCGAGAGATACCGCAAGCGCTGACAAAATTTGCGTTCTCAAACAAAGACACGCCGGTCATCTACTTCGGCGTGGACACGCGTGACTTGCTCTTCGGTACGCTCGAGGATCTGGTACGGAAAATCGACCTGGCTGCTCAACAGCTTTGCATACGAGTCGTCGTTCAAGCTCGTGAGCAACATCAGGCAGCTCGCTCTCTGTATCGGTCTGACTTTGTCTACCTTCTGGGTACAGATCTACCGTACGCGCAGCTATTCCCTCGCGTTGCTGCTACCATTCACTGGGGTGAGCCCGACGTTTTGGCTGAAGGGCTCATGGCTGGTAAACCCGTCGCCGTCTGTGGTTCGCATCCGTCGCAGCTCTTCACCGCCCGCTTGTGCGAGCGACTTGGCGTGGGAATCCCGCCGATAGATCCGACAACTTGCACAGTCGAGTCACTGCTGTCAAGCTTTCAACAACTACTCCAACCAGCTATTCAAGACCACGCGCACGGCCTGACGCATTCGTTTGAACCGGAGAGGGCGGTCAATGTCGCTGTGGATTCCTTTTATTCCCATCTGCCGCTGGAAGCGATGGTGTGCGACGTCGATCCAAGAAAACTCGCTCGCGTCTTCGACTCGCAGCACATCATGAAGCTGTCACTCGAAGCTTATTTGGCAGTGGAACCGGTTCGGGACGAGAGTAAAGGCTTCGTGCCTTACAAGCCGCTGCAGTACGATGGTTTCCGTCCGCCGCAGTTCTCGATTCGCGGCAACCCTGGCGAGACTCCACGCGACGTGAAGCCATCTCGTAACTTGGAAGCCGTTGAAATGGCCCTCGAGGTGCTCAACGCGCAGGATGAGCGTCGCTCGAGTGAGTTGAGCCAGCGCTCGTCCGACTGCTCGTCCGAAGGTGTTATGGCTCAAGCGGCGGACCCGGAGTTGTTCTGGTCGTCGACGGAGCAGGAGGAAGCTGTTCGGAAAGCAACCAACGTTGCCTACGAACGGCTTGTGAAGCCGGAAAGCATGCGAAAGCGGAACAAGCTCGCTCACCTGTTCAGCGGTAAACCGAAGACGGGAGAACTATAAACCGTGCGGTGAGTCATCCACGGCGAGAGATAAACTAATGCTACGTAGTAGTATACTACGTAGTAATACTTTACTAGCCGAGCGCCGCCGCTACGCGGCGGAAATATAGGTTTGCTCTACAGTAGATGTTTGCCTTCCCGCCTCGGCTTAACTTCGGCGGGATAATTATTCCAAAAACTCTGAGCCCCCATGTGCCTAAATCGACTTCTTTAATTTTATAAATCGGGATTTCATGTAGACCAGTCGCTACAAAATGCTGAGTTCCCAGTAAGCCGTGCAGCTATTTCTACTACTACAAAAGACTGAGCTCCTAGATCATACTACGATGCCTTAAAAAAAAATTTCTACATGTAGTGATCTTGACACAGTCTCTTTATTATTGTCGGCTATCACTGAATCACCTGCACTTCAAATAACATGTCTACAAACGCCACACAATATATTTAGCTTAGCGTCGTGCTCGATATCATGGGCCATTCCTGAGCCGCTATGAAACTTAGCTCACATCAGCACAAACAATAGTAATGGCCTGTCCAGCTTGTATTACTTACCTGCTGATTTCAGCTTGTAAGAAACTAAAGATTGTTCACTTCTCTCATTAAACTCAATGAAAGCTAAAAAAAGATCAAAAAGTAATTTTTTTTAAGTATGTAGCGTTCATTTTGTGCTGATTCAGAATTAGCACTCGAGTCTGTGCCAGTTATGATTGAAGCACTTGGATATTGTGTCGCAAGACGCCTTGCTGCTGGTGTTGTTGACGGTAGTGTATTCTATTTGATAATTTAACGATGATTCCAGGATTATTGGACGTCGTTTAGGCTCCAAGTGTATTAGCGTTTCTTTATGGGGTCTACTTAATCAACTATAATTCACACCTCTCGTGTTTTGTTATTGTCTTGGCGCCCCATTTTAAATTGTATCCTACGCCCCTGTCGACGACACGTCCGCCAGCTAAGTAGTATCGGATTTTGCTGTCTAAACAACTCTTAGAAACAATGGTTTACAGCAGCAACACATATGAGTTCATTTTATTCAATCTAAAACTATCTGTATTTATGGATCAAGTGACAGCGTTTATGAGCAGCGTTGTTCTTACGGCCAGTTCTTACGGCCAGCTTCTGCTGTACATGTACTACTATTTGGCAGCTCAGTATGTTTTTAATATGTCTACAACAAAAACAGTTGTAGTTATTCTTTTAGTCATTGTTTCTTGTAGAAACTATACAGAGCCTAATATTTTGTGTATTAATAGTATGGCCTCGAAAACACACGTGTACGCTAAGCACCTTGCAGCATAGGAAGCGTCTTGAGGGGCTATTTCATTTGAGAATAAGTAGCCCTCAAATATTAAAAGCAACTTCTCATTTTAGAATAGTACAAATTAAAACTTCGTAGTATTTAAGCGATGCCGCCATCGGATAATAGATAGCCTGGTGCAAATCTCCATATGTGCTCTGTGAACCACATGAATTTACTGATGTAAGCTACATAATTTAGTTTTAACCAATTGGAGCTGCTTTGGCCCCGCTCGACAGCCAATGAGAATGCTCAAAAACCTGAGCGTTACGTTGCTTCGCGAGGCAGAGATCATCAATGAGCTGTGTGCAAGCATCGGAGAGGCTCCAACTCCGAGAGGTTTTCCGTCGTCGTATGGGATGACGCTGGGGCGTGTTATTAGAGCTCTTATGAATTACCCTCCAGCTCAGTGAACTGGATGCTGAATTTGATGTTGGTAAACTCTTCTCAACCAAAACATTGAAATTGTTATTCTTATTTTTATAGTGATGAGCAATCTCTTTGCTTGAAGCAGTACCTCGAACATTGAAACGCCTGATCATTGTCGTGTGAGCTTAGTAATTTCTTCATCCGCCTTCTGCTTTTTTTTAAACTCCTCTTCATTCCGTAGGGCAGGATTTGTTGTACACAGCAGCAGCCACGTCAATCTCAGCCGCATCACTCGTACGTAGGCCTCCGTGATACGATGACGCTCAAACCTATGGGCGTTGCGCAAGAAAGAGCTAGCCATTCCCAACATCAAATGTCCACAGCTTGTGCCATTGGGCCGAGCAGGCTCGTCAATCCACTTTTTAGAATTTCTTTGGGAAATTGCGCCTTGGCCCCACTTCCTGTGTGCCATTTTTCCATATATGACATCAATGTGTTTTTTCAGGCATTTTTAATCTCTCTTCGATAACATCGTTGGTGCAAAGACTCGTAGAAATTTACGCGTAATGTTGTTGGAAACGCCACTTTCACGATGATAACACCCCAGTGAATACTATCCAGATTCAACGGCAAAATCACGAATGGTGACTCCGATAGCCACTATTTTGGCTGGTTTGGCCATATCAGCAACGAAGACAAACCAATAGCTCCTTTAACCGTGTCAGTGATCATCTGTATCCCCATGCCGATTACTGCGTCGTTCAGCATTGCGTTGCGAGGAATTTTAGCAGCTACATCCATAAAATTAACGAAAGCGGACCCCCATTTGCTCTTCAAAATCGTCATCAGTGAACACTTTGAATCTTTCTGACGCACGTCTTCGGCCAAAGCTCGGTGAGCCTTTGCAGTTTCTGAATGTAGTAATACACTTGTTTTAACCTCCAAGGAAAAAACGGTTCGACTGTATGGGCTTGAATAAGGCGCCAATCTTGGTCCAGCCACTTGACATCCTCGATAAATCCCCTGGCCTTTGCCTTGAGTATGTAAAAAATTTCAATTCTGTTTAAGAAAGTGCTGTAAGCTCCATACAAAAAGGGGTTAGTAGTGTTTGTGTAAATTGGTGCAACCTTATTTCTCTAGAAGTACCCTTAGCACATGTAAAGTGCCCTTAGCACATGTAGGGCGCCCTTAACACATGAAGGGCGCCTTTAACACATGAAGGGTGCCCTTAGCCCATCAATATAAGAAAATACCTACCTGTGTAGAGCGAGATTTTCTGAGCCAAATGAGACCAGCATACCCCACGGAGCTTCCTGATTCGCCGCTTCAGCTCCTTGCGTTTTAAGATTATTGCAGCAGACGCTTTCTTCAAGAGAGAGGCAGGTACGACAAATGCATGGTCATTTGTGATGTCACCACTGGTTTCATCGGTAACTTTGCACGAGCTTGTAAAAACTCGTCATCCATGCGAACAGGATACTGGTCGAGCACGTTTGACACCTTCTCCACATTCGGGTAATATTTAGCCCACTGGATGATCTGGGTCAACGATACAGTAATTTTCGATGAAAGCAGAACAACAGCCAACTTGGGTTGCTTGGCAATCCACCCCTGTCTTGTCTTCTTTCGGGTACGAGGTTTCGGATCTGGAAGTTTCACCACTTCAACACGGCGAAAATTCAGTGTTTGGGTCGTACCACTTTGGTTTTTTTTTAACTGGTCATCACAGCGGCGGTCTTCGCTACATTCCAAAGCATTTCTGTTCGAAATAGACTTTTCATGTGTATCTCGCCATACATTTTTGTTCTTCTTTTGGTGTTTCGGATAATTGGGTGGCTTCAAGTTCGGACTCTTCCGACGGAGAATGAAAAGGCTCTCCATTCGCAAATTTTCGTTCTTGTGCCAACACCGCCAATGACTCACCCTCCATTCCCAACTCCTGATCGGCCTGCATTTCGGCCATCACAAATGCAATGTCAAGCGGATCAACGATACTGTCATAATCGCTGTCGGCTCCAGTAAAAGGAGAGCCTGCACCAGTTGAGGATGTGCTCTCAGCACAATCACCAAGTTGTTTTTCGGTGAAAGACTTTTAATTGCTCGTCTGCTCGTAGAATTCAAAGGTAGATAGTCCACTCAGCTTCTCAATTATTGGTCCGAATAGAGCTTGGGCCCTTGCATACTTCTCAGCACCTGAAAGCACTACCATATTACCCTCCTCTCGGCGTCGAAGACGAACATACTCCACACAACGCTTTCCCACGCGCGCTTTATAGGTGAAGTTGCTTTTTAAGGGTGGAGGATAGGCTTTGGGCGCCCTTAAGTTCATCGGTCGAGCCTTCAAATTAATCACTTGGCGAACAGACTCCAAACCCTTTTCCAATGTGTCGTGAAGTTCTTCAGTTGTTTCATACTCCATCTTGCGGGCACTGCTAGCGCAGGTAGCGAGATGAATCCATGTCCTTTGCTGGCAACCGTCATAATATGCTGGCAAGGAAGTCGCCGACTCTTGTAAAAAAAACAATTGCACGACCATAAAGTATCGTCTACTGTGGTTTCTTGTCCAGCTAAGTACACTTGTCATTCCGCTTGAGTAGGTCCTATCTGCTTACAGGTGGCGTCGGATTTGTTCACCATGAACAGGTTCCATTGAGACGAAACTTTCGCCAGCGTATCGCTCGAAAGATGGCCCGCAACGCGCTGCAAAAAAAGAGGAATGGATTGAACAGGACGGACTGTGTGGAAATTCTTCGGATAGACGACAACAACTGAGTCACAATGCTCACTTGGTTCTGAAGCAAGCCAGCGATTGCTCGGTCGAGTCTCGTTTACGACCAAGAAGACGTTTTAACTGATTCCAGTTGCTTGCGATCCTGCTAGTTGTAGTGTTCCCAGCCGTGAAGTATTTTTCGCGCGCATGATTGGCCCACATATAACTACACCACGCCCAATTTTCGTGGAAATACTGGAAAACCTCTGGACAGGGCTTGCTGCAAATATCCGGGCACTCGCCCTTGCAAAACGTTTCGAGTCCATCTCGTGATCTATTGTAAGCCGCCGTTGTAGTGTTGTACATCATCTGCTTAATCGAAAACTCCATTTTATCTTGCTGAATGCCCGTAAGATCATACTTGCTCGCTTGACGACCTTCTTCCAGTTCGCCATTGTGTGAAATTGACACAAGAGTACGGTTGCATCGGGAAAGCACCTCTCCAACACTCTCCACTCCTTAAAGTCCTTGTCAATGACAAAAGTCTCTATTTGTGCCCAGCCTTCGTTCTCTCCCTTGAAAAACTGATGAATCGCCTCCATAGTAGATTCTTTTTCAGCAAGCGCAATAAAGTCCAAAACCGGCACACCCCGCCCCGCTGAACTGGTAACAAGAAGACTCCCTGTGTGAAATTAAACACAAAAATAGTTAAAGGTGCTGCACCAGAGATTAGGGCGCCGCAAAAATAATTGAAAAAAAACTTACCAAGATGAAATCCCAAGTTGTATGTGCCATAAGTCCAATCCATACAAAGAGTCTCTCCCCAATGTTCAAAAGCTAACTTTTGTACGGCAGTTTGTATCACAACGCCACTCGTCACGTCGTTCTAGTCTTGAAGAACGAGAACCTCGTTGTCATCAGAACATGCCAAGGTATCCAGCATATTCGAAAGTTTTTTGTCAGCAAATGTACTTTGCAGCACCTTTCTGACAATGTTGCGTGCTTGCTGGGATGCCACGTGGCGTTCCAAAGCACCGGAAATAAACTCTTGAATGTGATGTGACCCCGTATTGGCATCCGCAAGAACGCCAACTTGATCCGCTACCATGCTATTTCTGCTACTGATCCTCCTCCAAATTGCTGAAGTAAATTGATGCATTTGCCTGATGATTGTGTGTCCAGGTCTATATATACATTATAATATTGTTAGTATTTCGTACTCTCGGCGACATTGTCAAATAATTACTTACCCCGTTCCGCAGAGCGATTCGCCACTTTGGATCATGGTCTTCGTCTGCAGTATTCATCACAGTGGCCGTGATTCTAGCTCTACACCCAGTGTATCTAGTTGGCGTACTTATCAAACCTTTACCTCGAGACTTTTGAGGACAACCATGGGTACAGCGAAACACCTTGTAGCTGTGCTGCATCTTGTTTGGTATCTGCAGCTCGACCAATCTATAATATACCACATAATAACAAGCATTATTGTGAGTCAGTCGGCTATAATTTAAAACTAATATACTTTATTATAAATCTTACTTACGTATTGTGTTTTTTCACCGTCTGTGAGTCTCGGGCCCTGAAAAGTAGGAAGTGTTCGCTGCAATACTACTCCATAACATCACCAAACTCTTTCCATGTCGAAAACTCGAGCTGTCGCATCGGATAAACTTTGTTTACAAAGTTTTCACGGGACGTTTCCATTGCCAAACGTTCGGGATACAACTTGGTGCGTCTGGCCCTTGGCGTTCGGTCGAGGATCTTGGGCGGCTATGTTTGTGTCTTTGCCATGTTCATCATCTGCTGACGTCAAACAAATAGTCTCCGCGACACTGTCCTCGCCAAAGCCGTCACTTTTAGCGTGCCTTCGTCGTTTGGTAGGTGTTGTGAGTTGGTGCAGACGACGTTTCCTCTTGGAGGCACGTCTTGTATCTGTCCATAGTATCAAAAACAGTTAGACTATACTCATATACGATAATTGTTCGCAACACAACACTAGCCGATTTCGTCCAGAAGTTCCTGCAACGTATCACTCGAATCGCTATCAAGTTTGATGTCAATATCACGGTCGTCGTCTTCAGATCCGGAAGAAGAAGGGCTCAGCTCGAAAAGGGCGTCTATGTCATCTAAACAACAGAAGCATTAACGTTGTTTTTTTTTGTAATGACCACAAATATAGCAAATAGGCTGTGATACGTACCTTCAGACATTTAAGTTGCGATCGCCAGTCAACTGTCGCGTCAGTGAGTGATCGTCTAGCAGGAAAACAGGTAGAATTCTTCCCGTGAGTGACGGCTTTCGACGCGTGGCACTGATTTCTCGAATGAGCCCCAAAATTAAACGGCCAGGATTCATCGCACTTAACTGCATTCTTCGAGCTAAATGTAAGATCGCGACGACTACACGGTGTTCTCCATATGATCTGCCATAGAAAAAAAATGCGGATGGGTCTATTGACACTAGCTAAAACTTCTCCATCAATATGGATCAAGCGGAGGTGCGAGTGCAACACGTTACATATAATACTATTGTGTACACCCCCATGCAACTACTTTCAGCTTTCGCTCCCTAGTGTCCATTTAATCGCCTACATAAACTCAGCCCATACAAATTTCTAGTCAGCTAAAACGACACATGTTTTATTTTATATGGGATTTTGTATTGGGCCGATGGTGGCCGTAAATTGTATCCAGCTTGACAAATCTCTTTTTTGTAAGTGAGCCATCGTTAAAGTTCGACTAGCTGAAGTATTACTTGTCACAGTGAGGCCTCTTGACTCAGGCCGCTTCAGGACAATTGTATGAGTGAAGGCAAGGTTGGTGGGGTGTGTTGGCATTGCTAAGTGCATTAATATAGCGTCACAGCTTGCAGGTTTATGACATACGATGTGGACGAGGCTATCGGCAGAGGTACATGTACTTGATTGCAATTTCAAACAACTGCAACCGTTTGCGGTTTTCCATCTCGATCGGGTCAGAATGGATTATAGAGCAAATATTCGTAATTTTTAAAGCCTGCCCATACTGCACTCCTGGACACAATTATATGGCCACCTCGTCGAGATTTTTTTTATAAAATATCATCGACTATCTAACAGCTAATATTACATATCATGATATTTTTTGAAAAACTGAATCACTCCATTATATTAATATTTAATGCTAAAGACAGTACTACTGTACTAGTATCAGAATCATCATATGATCAGTACAGAAGTTGCCTCAACAAGCGTATGGAATCATCTATTTATTACTAATAGCTTATGAATAGTAAATAGTTAGTAGAATCATTTTGTCCCTTAGAAAATATTAAGTAATATTTTTTATGAGCTGGTCAACCAGGTGATATTATCATTATATTAGCTTCATTGATTTTGGATTTATCGGTGCCATTAACCCCTGGTAAAAAATAAACTGTACATGACCCTCCGTTTTTAGCAGGGTTCTGATTAATGTTGAAGGTGCCGTAACAAATTTCTCTTAGGCTCAGTCTTATATCGTCCCAAAAGAGGGATGGACCAATCTGCGATCTAGTTTGCGGGATATTGGGATGACCTGTAGGGTTGACACCCCTTCTCGTCCCACTGGGACGCTGTGTGGCACGGTCTTGGGATATACAAATCCCGCTCATCTCAAGTCCAATCGTCTACTCCACAGTTGACAGCAGCAGCACACACCGCCGACACGAGCCACCTGTCCGCAACCGCCGCCATGGCGACGACAGAACCCGTCACGAACATCGTCAAGCGGATTGGACAACCGCTACATGGTGACAACGACGAGGAAATTCGTTCTTTCTTGACGGGATTTACCGCGAAAGAGCTGCGCAGTGCTTGCAGAATCTACCACGTAAAAGTTCGCTCCAAGACCGCTAACCTCGATAGCAAAGTCGGCTACGAAAACGTTCTTGTGGAGCTAGCTCGATCCCAGCGAGAGAGTGAAAACGCAACACGTGATAAGCGTGACAAGCGTCAAGGTTCTGCTGGGGTTGTAGCTGCTGTGACTACACGTAAGACGCGACACTGCTGTTTTCGCTTGCTAAATGTTTTATTTAGTGATCGCTTTGTGGAGCAGCTTAGTTTAATGGGCGCTCAGCCGACACGACGTCAGCTAGATGCTGGAGCTGTTGCTGGCCGGAATGCCTTCTGGGTACAGGTAGCAGTGGATTATGTCAAGGACCGCCCAGAGTATGGCCGCCTGGTCTCAGCAATTAGCCGCTTCAAAGGGGTGGATCCGCACCATATTGTGCCTCACACTAGTGAAAAGCTGATGCAGATTTAAAAGGACGCTACACTAAAGTTTGCATCAGCACATGCACGTGCTATCCAGTCAGGAACGCACGAAACGGATTCTTACGATTTTTGCTCGGGGCAGTTGGAAGCGCTGTATGTTAACACGTGGTTAACGGTACGTCCTCAAGCTTTTGATGCTGCGGTGGGCAGCCTTCCCAAACGCAGTCGTTTGGACACGTTGATTGACGATGATGGAGGTGACACTAATGACGAGAGGACCCCTGCTAAACGGCGTCGAGCCGAGACACACGACGTCATCAGTTACCTAGAGACCCGGTTCGGCTCCAGCAAAGAGCGAGAAATAGAAGAGAAATTGCAAGCTTGGACCGCAGTCTTCGCTGAGTTGGAGAAGCTGACAAGTTCACTGTGTTCAGCAAAGCAAGCTGGTTTGCGTGAATCGGTAATTACTCGTCTAGAGAACAAGGTTGAACTCTATGTTCAGAGAATTGAAGATTTAGATAAATCCGATTAAGAAGAATACAAATATAATGAGCCTTTTGTATTTATGAGAAGAATTTTACTTTTTGCATTTACAAGTAGTTGTTCAAGCTCTATTTGTAATTATGCGACCGGTTTTTCACTTCAACCTTACACTACGAAGGCCTGCGCAAATTGTGGCGCGCAACCTTTTCGACCATCGCTTCACGCATGAACCCGTTGATTGCAACTTCTGCTGTTGTTATCGAAGGATCGTAGCCTAGCAGCGAGACTAACGACTTGCCATGACGTTTCACTAAACCTTGATTGATACACTCCTCCACAATATCGTAACTTGTATTGGTAGCGTAGAAGCTATTCTGCGCGAAATTGTGCAGGCGGGCAGCGGCACTGACTACATGTGAAACATGGTCTAGAGAGACAAGTAGAGGGCGGGCAAAAATGCGCCATCTGCAAACTAGCAAACCAAACGACATCTCGATCCGAATTCGTAGTTGCGATAGATAAAAGTTGTATGCATCCCGATCGGGACTCGTCACCTCGTTTGCGGTAAATGGTGTCAGCATATTCATTCCACACACACGTACGCGTTATCACCAATCAAGTAAAACCCGCTTTCCATGCAGTCGAGCTGCCCACTCAGTGCGCTTTGTTGGAAAGCACGACTGTCATTGCAGCTTCCAGGTTGTGCAACGCGAACGTAAGTAAATCTGCATCGGTAGTCACAACAGGCTTGGACATTAACACCATAACGTCGGTAGTGCCCGCTATAATAGCGCTGGGGCCCAACACCGCCAGTCTCATTCCGCCTCGGGGCTCTTGTGGCACACAACCACCCGTCGACGCACCCAACGCAGCCGGAAAATACCCCCTCTACACTCAGTGACTTAAATGCAGCAGCACTTGCCTCGCGTTTTGTAGGAGAGCACGGAAACGAAAGCCGCAACTCTCCGGTTCCATTAATGGCTTCAATCACCAGCCAAACAACCCGATAGAACGAAGCTTTGCTTATACCAGCAAGTCGCCTAATATCATGCACGGAACCTCCTGCTAAAAAGCGTAGCGTCAATTGCAAGGCGTTATCAGCGGCGATCCACCCCCGTCTCACCCATGCATGCGGCGAAATTAATAGCTCTGGCGCAATAATCTGCTCTAGCCCCTTGAACGCAATAGCAGACATCCGATAACACGCTTGAAACTGACTCTCGGCAAGTAGCAGATTAAGCTCGCGATCCCACTTGATCTTCGCACGCACCGTCTGGGGTGCTCGTAAGGGTCTAGTTAGTACAGACGAAAGCAGCAAAGTTAGGCATATCGCGTCTTCACGCGATGGCATTGCGCCGCTGTTCCAGTCGATGTTCTTATATACTATATGTTGGCCACACCATAAAACATTCCTTCCTGTCTATAACACCTAGTTGGAAGTCCTGCGGGTTCTCGAAATTGCAGGCATCCCATCACGCTATTGTGGGCAGATATAAGACCGAGCCTTACAGCGTCAATTGCTGGGGGGGGGGAGGCTAGGTCAGGGGTTAATGGCAACTCCAAAATCGGTGAAGTTAATAAAGTGATAATAGCACCCGGTAGACCAGTAAATAAAAAATATATCACCTAGTATTTCTACTTGGACAAAATGATATTATTAAATATCAGCTTAATACATTTATTAGCTAATACGAAGTTATTTTTTTTTTAAGATTGTGAAATTGGTATTAATCCACCAATCATATGTCGTTAACGTTCGACTAGCTGAAATATTACTAATCAGTGAAGATGACAATTATGAGAGTGACGGCAATCTTGGTGTGGTGTGTTGGCACTGCTGATCGCATTAATCTAGCGTCACAGGCTGCAGGGTGATGAGTGCACGATCTATCGGCAGATAACAGGAACACATATCTTGATTTTGCTCTATCGACTCAAACAGCTGCAACCGTTTGCAGTTTTCCATCTCGATCGGCTTTGTCTGTGTCACAGTGAAATACTAGAGCAAATACTCGTCAGTTTGAAAGCCTGCCATCGCTACTGCTGCTTTAGAGCTTGACCGAAAGAGTTCTTTGGTGAGCCAGAGGGTAAAATGGCAGTGAGCGTACTTAAGCGAAAAAATATCATAAAATATCACCTAGTATCTGATATTTTCAAATCTCTGAGATATTATTTAAATATTATGTAAGCTTTTGAAAACTCAGTGTACTATTGCGATTTAATTTCGAAAATAGTGCTATTACTATCAAAATATATCATATGATATTTGGTTACTGTACCTTTGGTGGTCTAGGTACAGTATTCCAACGGCAGTACTTTCGGTGGGGCCGGAATTTAAGACAGAGATGCACTACGAGCGCAATCCTGAGAGCTGCTCCTTTCTCTATAAAATAGCACGCTTTTTCTCAGGATATGGATACTACTCAGTGTTGGACACCGAGGCGACACGATGCAAATGTGCACTGTGTGATGAGGCATCTGGGGATGGCATCTTGAAATGGCAAACGTACATGTATCGCGCGCTACTCCACATACAGCCATCTTAATGCACATTAAACAACTACGGCAACGTTTGATACGGATGGGAAGCGCTGCGAGCCAGCGGTTGCGGTAGCAAGCTGGGCATACACTTCGAATGCGCGTGTGGCTTACTGGTACCCGTGCAGTCAATGAAATCTTCATCAGAACTATTCGCAATGGTGTGACAGCATTGGTGTCTAAGCACAGCAATGGTTAGGCGGAAAGCGAGACGAAGCATGGCGTACTGTACCTGTACATTCAGCCCGGAGCATCTTTGACAAAGATTCTTTGTCGTGATAATCTGTACCTGTACATGTACTTGAAGACGCAAGGGTGGAATCCACCGTGGATGGAGTAATCTCTGCTGGCGTTCATGAAAACACCACGAGCTTCGTGGCACGAAATAAACGAGTTGTACATGTAGCTCGAAATGGTGTTGCCGGGAAATGGCATTAGTTGCGACCCATTCATTAATTATTAATAGGTGGATATTCGATGCCGTCGCCGACTGTCGAGGCAGCTTGTTGTACGGGTACTGTAGGCAATGAGATGCCTCTCATTTTTGGTGCCTCTTCGATCGGACATGTAGAATGAGCGAAGGGGTTGGAGCTCCTCTAAGGTTTTCTTCATATAAAAGTCCCGCTTAAAGGGCGTTTTGGGGCCCCCTAAGAAATTTTCGTCATTTTTTAAGAGCTTTCAAAGATTACACGCTAAATATTAAATTTCCGTGACAATTTAAATTACTCAGTAGTACAATACATTCTCATTTAGGTACGATAAATACTGGGCCGTCGGATTTTAAGTGAACATTCTAGACAACGCGCAGCGCGGAAAAGGGGGCTCCGCGCGCGATACTGCCAGACGATCGCCAACTGAAGTATCTGTCGCCGGGAATCGCTTGCGCGCACGTGCACTTCGCTGGGGGTAAAGTCAATGCAGAAGGGTACGTGCGTTTATCTACGGCTTGACCATGTTTGGTATCATGACGTGTATTTCTCCGTAAACGAGATTTCGATGAATAGTAATTCTTCTAGTGACGCCCCAGACGACGACCGCGACGAAGATTTTATACACATGAGCGATTCAAACGAGGAGTTGCAGGAACTTCTTGAGGAGATCGGTGAGAACAATCGGTTGCTAGACATCTTTCTACGTTTGTTTACTATGAATTTTAATGGCGTGCGCAGAATCGAAGCCAAAGCACTCTCATCGACAAGGTTTGTATTGCTGCTTCTTGGAGCTCTGCTGAATCACAAATCTAACAACTGTGTATTATTAAACGAAATAATGTAGGCGCTACAAAATCACTTTGGTCGGAGAGACAATCTCTAAAGCGGAAAAAGTTTTGCCGTCGACGAACAGCATCCGGGAAGCGGCGGCGGCGGCGATCGAGTGGAACGAGCAGCTGCACTGGCGAAGAAAGTGGAGCAGAGACGCTGTCGATGCATTCATCTGACGGAGCAACAGCCGATTCTCGTTACGATCCACTCGAACGGTATGCTCAAGCCCCACAATCCGACCGCACGCCCCGCGCCAGGCGTACCGAAACGTATCCAGCTCGTATGGCGATGGAATCATCCCGTGAAGGCGTTTGCAACAAGATACCTCCACTACCTACGCTGGTTTCTTCGTCGTGGAGTGAGGTTAACCGCGTTTTAGAGAGGTACAGCAGCGATTTTTTCCTGTTATTCCGGGCCCGTGACACTCAGACCGTGAAAAAACACAACTCGTAAGTTTAAAGATTGTACCATCATATTATTGA